GCCCAGCTTCTGGCCTCCAGCTGCACCTACCTGCCCCTTGGGCTGGGGGTGGGGTGGGGTGGGTGCCTTGGTCCCTGCCCTTCCCTCCAGGTGGAAGTCCTTTCTCTCCTCCCACCCCCTGTCTCTACCGTGCCCACTCCTGTTTGTCCTTCAAGGTCTTGAGCAATGACCTCTGGAGAAGTCTCCCTGCTCTGCATGGGAAGCGATGGCCTCCTCCTCCTGCTCCCCTAGCACCTCACCAGTGTGCACTGGACGGCTGGCTCAGTGGCTGCCTCTTCCAAACGGCCCCCACGCCTCTCCCGTTCGCCACCCCCCCCCCACTGTCTTTGCGGCACTCTTCTTGCCCCGGGTCTCTCCATGGTCTCTCCTGTATGGACTCCATCACTGGGCTCCCTGCCTCCTGGTTTTCTGGCCATTCAGCCAAGGGGGAGCCCCGCGGGGGAAGGGAGGGAGGAAGGGAGGAGAGTGGGGTTGCCTCTGGATCGCGGTCCTCCACTGGAGGCCCCGTTCCAGGCCCTGGTAGGCTCTCTGCACAGTTACCCCTCCCTCGAGCTTCTCCCCTCATCCCAGGGGTCCAAGGTCTGCTGCCAGCTTGGTGCTGCTATCCCTGTGGGTCCCCTACACCCTCTCTCAGGAAATGGTCCTTTGGAGGCAACCGCCCTTGAATTACTCTATTTTGGGTGTCACCTCTTTCCTGTTGGGACTGTGACTGATCCATTCTCAAGGGAGGGGGACAGGTTTCGCTGATGTCTCCAGGATGTCTGGTACACAGTAGGTGCTCTGCAATTGTATGCTGAATGAATGAAACATGAGGAACATCCGTCTTGGATTTTCTGCCCTCTGTTCTCCGTGGTCCACCCTGGTGAGGGAGGACACGCAGGGCTCAGCCATGCATTTGGCCTCTGCTCTCAGGTGGCCCTAACGCCTCCCCTTCCTGTGTCCATGCCTGTTGCCACATGCCACTGTGGATGGGGTGAACCTCCCATGCCCAGACGTTGAGCTCAGCCACATGACTCTCTGGCCAATGGAACATTAGCAGATGTGACCACGGGGGCTTGCTCTCTAGCCATCGCTGTGGCCTGGCTTGCTGGAGCACAAGAGACATGTGAAGCAAAGCTTGGGCCTCCCAGTGCCCCCTGTCCCCACCTGCCACCCCCAGATACGTGGGTGGGCTGGCATGTGAGCCATAACGTGTACCGTGGCTGTTATGTGGTGTCATCAGGCCAGTGGGTAACTGATACACCACTATGGATCATGCAGCCTCCGCCCAACACGACACCTGATCCTCTTGGTGACCCAGTGCAGAGGAGGACGGGGCAGGTGTCAGCAACTCCATTGAGACGCAGAGAGGTCAGTGACTTGCTGTGGTCACACAGTCGCAAGTGGCAGAGTCTGGGTTTGAGCCCATGCTTTTGGCTTCCAGACCCCACATCTCACAAACCAACACGAGCCGCCTTCCGGGGCTGCCCCTACCCCCACCCAGGAAGCTGGGCCCCGATCCCAGCCGCAGGGTAGGGCTCACCCTCCCAGATCTCCTCCATGCTGTGCTCTGAACTCAGTTCTGAGCCCACAAGGCCTCCAACCTCTCCCAACTTTGTAGCCTCCATCCTCCTTCCTCACCGTGGTTTCCCGTATCCAGACCAAACGCCGCCCCTTCCGGGAGACCTTCTAGGGTCTTCTCAGGCAGGAGATCCCTCTCCTCCAGCCTCCTGTGACCCATCCTGAGCCAGGTCCCCTCCCTCTGCGTCGATGCCCTGCTGGCCTGGGTGCTCGAGGCTAGGGGGGGAGTGGATCCCTCTCTGGGTTCCAACAGTGTTTGGCACAGAGCCCTGCACATAGTAGGTGCTTAATAAGTGTGTACTTCTTCCTCTGTGTGGCCACTCTTGTCAGCTCCACTATGACCTCCTTCGAGGAAGGGCATGGAGACATATGGGTCTGCGTCCCCAGGACTGGCCAGGCATTGGGCACTCGGGGCGGCCTCTGTCTGACCCAGGTGTCTGGGGTGGGCTGAGCTTCTGGAACGGGCATTCTTGCTCTCAAGCCCCACACCCTCCCCCTCTTCTTGCCTGCCCCCTGCGACCTCTGCTTGGTGGCAGTGCTCTCAGTGGTGACATGTCCCTCTCACACACCTGGCCCGTCTGGCCTGTTGCCCTGCCTACCCGGTGCAGGCAGCTCTATTCTGTGCCCGTCGTCCTCCGATTCCCTATAAATAGCCAATTTTATCTCCTCAGTGACAGGGAGCAGCAGGCTGGCTGGCCTGGCCCCGCTTCTGTCCCATGGCCAGGACTCACCACATTCCTGTGTGACCTTGGGTGAGGCAGGCCCCTCTCTGGGCCTCCTCCCACCAGCCCTGGGTCCTGCCTCCTCTCCTTGCCCCTGCCATCCTGGGTGTGGCCTCGTCATCTTTGGCCCACTCATGTGTAAGGCTCCCCTTGTGCTATCCCCCTTGGACCCCATGGCAGAAGGTGAGGGGCTGCCCAGAGCTGGGGGAACCCAGGGTCTGGCAGGTCAAGAAGGGCGGGGCAGGGCGTGTGGTGTCCTCGGAAATGACTTTGGAGGGGCTCAGTCAAGGGAGCCAGTCAGAGCCCACCCAGATCGTGCACCCCACGTGGAGGCCTCCTATGTAGGACCTTAGTGGGATCACCTGAGCACAGAGGCCAGGACTGGGTGGGCCAGCCTGGAGGAGGGCAGACTGGCCCTGTCCGCAGCGCTGCGTGGCCGCTGGGGCTGCAGAGTCAGAGCTGGGCCCTCTGAGAAACCACTGGTTTCCACTCAGCCTCGGAAATGATCCCCAAACTGGAAACAGCTACTGAAGAAAGGGGTGAGCGTCCTGTCACCAGCGATGTGCAAGCAGAGGCTGCTGATCTTAGGGCTGCTCCCAGCCCTCACCCCCCACGCCCCACCCATTCCTCCCTCCCCAGCCCCCTGCTGAGTCAGGCTGGAGGCCCAAGTCCTTTCCTGGTGACCCACCAAACCCTGAGAACCTGCTTCCACCCTCTGCTCCCTGCTCCAGCATCTCCCAGGGCTCCCCCTTGCCTCTGGGATCCAGTTCCAGCCCCCACTCATGCCTCACTGGGTCTTTATTGGAAACTGAGACTAGGAATGGGTTTGCCCTGGATGGAGGGGGTGGGGGCGGGGGCCTTAGGAAGAGGAGACAGGTCACCCCAGCCAGGTAGAGAGCGGTGGTTGGAAGACTTGGCACCCGGCAGGAGAGCAGCCCCAGGGCCGTCAGTGGGAAGGAGGAGCCAGGGTGGGACACCCCTTCCCTGCAGGGCCCTGGTCTCCCCCTCCCCCTGGGAGAAGGTGGTTCTGTAGGACCCAGGGCTGGGGGTGGGCACAAGGCCCCCACTCTGCTGGCAGGTAGACGTGAGGGCCCAGAAATGGCCTCTCCCCCTCAAAGCCTTGCTCTGGCCCCTGAGGGCGGGATGAGAGGGAACCTATGGCCTTGGCAGCGAGAAGCACTGGAGCTAGCCACGGAGAGGGAATGCCTCTGGGCTGGGTGTTGGGAGCCGGTCTTCTCTGGAGAGTTTGAACCATTGGGTGCTGTTCACACGTGCACTCAAACCATTGTCTCGGAATTTGGGGCCACACCAAGGCGGGCGGGGGATGGGCAAGACACCTGTGGAGGGGGCTGCGGGTCTGAGAGGCTGGCTCAGGGCTCCAGCCTCCCGGGGCCTGCAGTATCAGGGGCTCAGGGCCCTTTCCCTGTAGGTGGGGTTCCAGCCATTGCAGGGTGCCCACCCGACACACCTCCAACCTCTCATCCCCACAGACACGCAAACCCACGCCATCCACACTCACCCGTCACCTCTGGCCGCCCACAGGCCACGCACACCCACTCAGCTTCCGGGCTCTGTGCACGAACTCCTGCTCACACACACAGTCAGATACACACAGCACGAGAACTACCTCCAGACACCCACACCCTCTCGCACACCCACACACGCCCAGGGCCCCGCACCTGCCTCCTCAGCTCCTTCCTGTCCCGTCCACACCTCCTCTCATTCTCAAAGCTGCTGGACCTTCTCCAGCCGTGTGTCGGCTGCTCACTTCTCCCACCGGCTCTCGCGTGCCCCTCGCCAGTGGTCAATCAGGGTCACTCTCGCTCTCTCAGGAAGAGAGCTCAGTGGTGGCCCACCCGTAACCCCAGCCCCACCCAAGGTCCAGATCAATAAAACCACCCCTACACCGGACATAAAAGAAACCCCAACTCTTTCCCTAAACCCCACAGTAAAAACCCAGCACAAACAAGTATTTGGGTTTTTTCCTTTGCAGAATTTTTTTTAGTAGACATAGTCTTTGTTTTCTTTCTCATTTTACAGCAAACATTGCAAATATAGAAATATTTTTCTGTACAATAGAACGACGACAGTGTACAGTGGGGACTGGGTTGGAGCACACACACCCAGCCCGTGCCCCTTCCAGCCACCCCTGAACCGTCCACAGGCACAGCCCTCCCCTCCCGCAGGGCTCCAGGAGGCCACCTGGCCGCCTGCATTTGCTCTGCCTTCCTTGGTGGCCTCCGGAGGTGGCAACGAAGAGACAGACTGAACAGAGTCCACAGCAAACCACGGACGGAGGAGATCACGTGAGAAGTCGGGAGGCCGTGCCGGCCATGCCCCCATGTCTCGTGTTTTATGTCTTGTTAAGATAACTTTACTTTTATTATTTTTTTTAAAAAAAGGAAGAAAATAGAGAAAGAGAGAGAAAAAGAAAGAAGGCAGAGAAGAATCAAGAGGAAAGACAATGAAAAAAAATTCCCCATACCCACCCCCCATCCCTAAGACACAGTTTTCCGAAGTCCCTTGTGTGTGTGTGTGTGTGTGTGTGTGTGTGTGTGTGTGTACAGGTCGCTTACTCCAGGAGACCGGCTTGGGGCAGGAACACGCGCCCGGCCGCAGTTCAATTCTGTGGGCACCATCAGCACCCGGTCTCCACCTTCTCTGCAGGGCCCGGGCTTCAGTGGCTACTGTCACACGGGTGTGCGTGTGCGTGTGTGTGCGTGTGTGTGTTGGGTTCGTGTGAGAGTCTCTGGGTTACAAATAGCTGCAGAGTCTTGTGTCCTTTTTGGTCCAGTGGGCATCACGAGTTTCGGGCGGGGCGGGGCTGGGCGCAGCAGTGGGCGCATGGCAGGCTCAGGACTTGTGCTGGGCCGACACGCCCTTCCAGTAGTCCAGGATGTCGTGCAGATCCTCGTCTTTGGCGAACTGGACCTTTTTGCGCAGGGCGTGGCCGGCCGCCATGAACTCCTCGTCGTCCTTGTGGCGCCGGCGGCTCAGTCTGAAGCGCTCCCAGATGCTCTGGGAGGCCCGGCAGGTGTACTCGGGGCTGGAGGAGTAGCTCAGGTTGTGGTACTGCGGGGACAGCTGCGAGTAGGCCAGGTCTCGGGGTCGCGGCCGGGTCAGTGGCTCCAGGATGGACGTCTTGCGGCTGCCCAGGCTGTCATGGGGTGGGGGCGCGGGGGGTGTGGGCGGCTCGGCGGGGTGGGAGCCGGGGTACGAGTGCCGGTGCTCGCCGTACTGGCGGCCCTTCTCGGCCTCGGCCCGCAGCACTGCGGCCGCGGGCGTCACAGTGAGGATGGCGTCAGCCGAGGGTGAGCTCTTCTCGATGTACTTGGCTTCGGTGGCCGCTGCCTTGTGTGTGCCGGTGGCCTCGGCGCGGAAGGCCCGCGGGCTGCGCACGGAGCTGCCGGACGGGGTGCTGGCGCGCGGCGGCCCGGCGGCCGCCTCCACGCTGTGGTGCCGCTGCAGGCCGTGGCTGAAGGTGTCCTTGTACACTGGTGACAGGAAGCCATGCTTGCCGGCCAGCGGCTCGGACAGCAGCACAAGCTGTGGCTCGGCCGTGGACACGGCTCCGGACTTGCCACCCTGGAAGGAGGTGGACTCGGACTTGAGCGCGTCGATGCAGTTGTTGATGATCTGGTTGACCTTGTCCACCTCCTTGGCGATGGTGGAGATCTCGGCCACCGAGCTCTGGCTGTCGGGGCCCGGCCGGCCCAGCTCGCAGTCCCTGTGCTCCGCCGGCTCCCCAGTGCGCACCTCCATGTAGTTGCCCTTGCCGGCCTTGGGCGTCTCGCTGCTCTCCACCAGCTTGTACTGCTCCACCTCGCTGGCGGCCGCCGGCAGGTAGGGGATGCGGGTCACGGCCTCGGGGCCCAGCAGCGGGCCCTGGGACAGCGGGGCCAGGCCAGGCGCTTCCATCTCGGGCCCATACTTGAGTTCGATGATGGTCTTCTTGAGGCTGCCGGCTGCGGCGGCCGAGGCCGCCTTCTTGTGCTTCTCCTCCTGGCGCCTCCGCTTGCGCAGGCAGTAGTAGACGGCGCCGAGCACCAGCACCATGCCGAAGAGACAGCCGAGGATGGTCATGATGTAGTGGGTGGCCGTGGAGGGGCTGGGCACGGGGCCCGGTGGGCTGGGTGGCTTGGGCAGGCAGATGGTGAGGCAGGTGTGGTTGTGGTGCAGCCCCGAGCTAGTGGAGACCACGCAGTAGGTGTAGTTGGTGAGCGTGTAGAGGTTGGTCAGGCGGATCTCCTCCTGGGCCTTGGTCAGCCTGGAGACGGTGGACGACTTACTGTTGTTGAAATGCTCCAGCGTGTACATGCGGTTGAATGGGCTAGGTAGCTGGACCGTGATGGTGGCCGAGTTCTGCGTCAGATGCTTGACCTTAATGAGCGGCCGGGCCTCGGCCTGGGTGGCCAGCGTGGGCAGGGCCACCAGCGGCGTGGTGCCGTCGCCGGAGAAGCACTCGTCGTCGGCGCAGGGGGCCTCGCTGGGCTCTGGGGGCAGTGGCGGCGGCGGCGAGCGGCCCGGCGGCGAGCGGCCGGGCGGCAAACGTCCCGGCACTGGGTGGGGCTCAGCCGCGTAGGAGCCGTCGGTGCACACGGACTGCAGCTTGCTGAGGATGCTGCGCTGGCCGTGGCGGCCCTGGCCCAGGAGGAAGTAGCCCGAGTAGAGCGGCGGTGACTCACACTGCATGCGGTCGTAGGTCTGCGTGGCGTTGGTGAAGGCCGCCAGCCAGCGCAGGAAGCCCAGGAGCTCGCAGGAGCAGTAGAAGGGGTTGCTGTAGAGCTCGCACACGGAGAGCTTGGCCAGGCCGGCGAAGGTGGAGCTGTGCAGCCGCTGGATGCGGTTCATGGACAGGTCGATGTTGACGATGTTGGGGCACTCCCAGAAGGCGCTGGGCGTGACCACCTCGATGAGGTTGGCCTGCAGGTACAGGTACTCCAGCTTGCTCAGGCCGCGCAGCACGCCCTCCGTCAGGTTGCGCAGCCTGTTGTAGCCGAGCTGCAGCACCTGCAGGTTGAACTGGCCCGAGAAGGCACCGTCCTCGATGTAGCCGATCTCGTTCTTGGTGAGGTTGAGGTATGTGAGGTTGCCGAAGCGGCTCAGCGAGGCGTACTGCACGCTGCGGATGCGGTTCTCGTTGAGCCGCAGGTCCACGATGGTGTTGTTGATCTGCTGCGGGATGGCCTCGTACGGCGGCTGGTTCTGGCTGCAGATGGCCAGCCACACGAAGCCCTTGTCGCCCTCGATCAGCCAGCAGTCGCCGCGGGCCAGCCCCCCCGCGTGCAGCAGGGTGGCGGCTGCCACGCACATCCACAGCGTGCCCCACCGGCACCCGGCCATCGGGAACGCCCTCACGGGAGACCCCGCTCAGCCTGCCCGGGGGGACTGGGTGGGGGGCTGGGCTGTAGCCCCCGAAGGGACAGAGGGGCGGGAGGGGAGGGTGCCTGTACTCTCAGGGGCGTCCTGTCCCAGACTGCATGGTCGCACGGCACAAGTGCTGGGAGGGATGTGCCTCCCTCACTGCCAGCCACCTCTCGTCGTCCACCCGCATCCCGCCATGGCTGTGGCCTCCTTCCCCATTGACCTGGGTGTCCGGACAGCTCCACCCTGCGCCTCCAGCTCAGCCGGTCCTGCTGCAAAACAAAAGAGGAGAGAGCAGGTCAGGAGGGGCTGGGCGTCCCACCAGTCGAGTGGTCAAGCGGGGACCTGCATCCAGCTCAGCTGAGCCACATTCCGGGAGGCCTGCGATGATGCAGGGTAAGGCAGGGTGACAGGAAGTGCTCACTACGTACTCACCAGGATCGTCTGTGTGTCCTGGGGGTGGGAGGGAAGGGTGAGCCCTGGCTCCAGCCCTGCCTCAGTTTCCTCCTCTGCAAAGTGGAAATGACACCACCTGCTTGGCCACGTGGTGACCACAGAGAATCAAGAACCATGTGCCTGGCCCGGTGCCATTTCATCAGAGTCCCCATTTGTCAGATGAGGAAACTGAGGCCCAGAAATGTGACCTAAAGTCTCACGGCTGACGAGTGTCAGGGCTGCTCTGGCTGGCTCTAGCCCGGGACACTCATGTGACAGATGCTCTGCTTTACCGCCTGAAGACTAGGTGATGCCTGCTGCTCCCAGCAGGGCCCGGCCAGGCACTCGCAGCCACCTGCAGGGGGTGCTCTGAGCCCCTGGCTGAAGGGTCCTCCCCTGGCCAGCAGAGAATCTTCCAGAGTTCCTGGGCTCCCCTCCAGGGAGGCACTGTCCAGGCACCCAGGACAGCAACGTTCTGGGTCTGAGCTCTCCTGTGGTCTGGCCCAGGAGCATCATGCCCCTCTGGTCCTCAGTTTCCCCCAGGAGCCAGCTGGATGGTCTCTGCAGCTTTCCACCTGGCTCGGGGGACCTGGGGCTGTCACCATCCCACGTTGGTGGATCCTGGCAGCAAGGCCTGGAAGGAGGGAGTGGCTTTCAGGCTCCCCATGGCCTCCTCAGGCCCAGGTGAGGACCCGACCACTCCGGGCCCTCAGACGTGATGTGCCGGCGCCAGAGCATCTTGCTCTGTGCCCCTCTGTCCCCACCAGACCCTGAGCTTCTCTGGGACAGGCCTGTCCCTCCCGTCTCCAACCCCCAGTGCTGGCACGGATGCCCAGGACGTGACTGTTGGACCACGGGGAGAGCACTCCAGGCAGGGGCCGGGGTGCGTGTGGGGAGACGTGGCTGGATGCTGCATGGGGTTTCCACTCCCTCGCAGACCTCCGCCCCGCCCGACAGGAGGACCGCCGGCCCGCGGGCCTCACCCCTCTGCCCCTCGTATTTCTCCCGCAGGACAGACGAATGGGCGTGCGTTTTCTTGTTAAGATGTGGATTTACAGCAGCCTCTGTAACCGCTCTGTGGCCTGGCGGGCGGCCAGCTGAGTGTATTTCACTGATATTGACGTTTGCAACCAGTCTGCACTGAGGCGGTTAAATTAGGAGAAAACATAATGATGTGAAATAGATTTCTTTCTCCTTTTGGAAACTTCATAAAGAATAGTTTTGATCTGGCTCCTGGGGAAGTCTATTTCTGATTTAAAGAGGGGGAGAGATCAGAAGGGGTAGGGGTGGGGGCTTGGGTGACATCCTGGTGGGCCATGGGGAACCCAGCCAGGGCTTAGCCTGGAGTTGCTTTGCGACTTTGTGCAGAGCACTGGGCCTCTCTGGGTGGGATCGGAAATGGCTCTGGGTGCAGGTGGGCTATGCCTGAGTCTCCCTCCCCGAAGGAGGGAGCCTGCTAGAGAGAAGCTGGGATCCTTGCGTGGACTGGCTGGTGATATAAAACCTACAATCCCAGGGGGAGCTCGTCTCCAACATCACCATCATCTCCACCACCTCACAGCACCTGTGGGGACCTCCCTCCCTCCCCACCATGCGCCTGCCCCATCTGCCCAGATGCCCAGACGACCTGTGCCGATGCTGTGATTTATGTCGCCTGGGGCTCCTGAGAGGCTGAGAGCCCCTGGCTGGGCAGGCTCACGGGCAGCCGACAGGCCCCGCTCCCTGACGTGCAAGAGCATCCTAGACAGAGGCTGGCAGTGGGAGGTGGGAGCAGGGGTGGTGACCAGCCTGGGGCTGATGGAGTCTGGCTCCAGCCTCGGGACGGGGGTGTGCGGAGCAGCAGGCCCTCGAGCCAGTGTGGCGCCTCGGCAATGCTGATCGTAATCACCTTTAATCTCTTGCTCAAAATAACCCAAAGTCAAGTTAAGGAGGATTACAGGCCCTAAAGAGCCCTCATCACAGGCGGCGCTGGAGGAGGAGGGCCGGGCCCAGGGCAGCCCAGCCTCTCCCTGGCTCTCCCAGGGCCCCTCAGCACCACGGGGGCTCTGGGGGCTGGAGAGCTGCATGCATACACATGTGCTTACACACGTGTGCTGGGCTCTGTGCCTGTGTGTACACACAGGTCTACATGCATGAGGGCACAGGCCGGGTTTGTAAGGGGTGAATATATTTCGACACACATTTACTGGGACGTGCATCAGGACCATCTGATGAGCGTGTGCGTGTGCATGTGTGCCCGTGAAAGTGGCCCCATCCAAGCGTGCATGGGGGTGCCGGCCCCTCTGAGATCCAGCCGGGCCCTGCCCCAGCCTTTTCTGCTCCCTGCTCTTCCCACTGCCACCATGGGCACCCCTACCCCCAATGTGACAGTCTAGGAATCTGTGCTTCTGACTCGGCACCTTGTGAGTGGCAAGCGGGTCCGGGGACCAGTTTCGCCTCCCCCGTGCACCCCCCACACTCTGGAGCCTCCTCCATCACGCTGGCCTGCGTGATGAGGGAGGCAGGGCTGGGTCTTGGCCCTGAGGACTGGGCGTGTCCCCACCCTGGGCTCCCTCTGGGCAGACCTGGTGCCCCGTTCTCACCTTTGTGCTTCACACCTGCCCTCAGAGCCTGGGCTGAGTGGGAGCCAGGCTGCTGGGGACGAGAAGTCCTCCCCATCCAGCCTGGCCTCAGGTGGAGGGATCAGCTAGGAGAGTGGGTGTGACCCTGGTGGCTGTCCCCCAGGCCCAGGAAGAGTTGCCTCTGCCCCTTCGATAGCCCCCATGACCTCAGCCTTGGAGGGACCCCAGAGTTCCACACCTCACTTTACAGAGGGGAAACTGAGGCCCGGAGAAGAGAAGGCCTTGTCCAAGGTCACACAGGGAGTGAGCCTGTCCTCCTGTCGGGGGTGGGGGCTGGGCAGCAGGTCCAGTGGGCACCTCGTCACTCCAGGAGGCCCCTCAGTTGCAGAGGCTGAGCTCCTCAAGGCCCCCTCAGAGCCACTGCATGTTGCGTCAGAGTCACCGGGTGGGGGACAGGTCGCCGCCCCGGGGGTCTGGGAGCCCTGTGACGCCCGACAGAGGCAGGGCCTCGGGAAATAGCTGTCCAGGGAACTGGCTAAACCACCTAGAAAGGTTCTGAACAGATCACGACCGTCCCCAAGTCAGCCTTTTCCTCTCAGGGCTCATGTATTCACTCACTCACTCCACCACGAGCCCCCCACCCTCGCTCCCTCCTTTGTTCACACACACACACACACACAGACCTGGTCCCTTGTGAGCAGTAAGTCACTCTAAACAACTGTTCCCAGGACACCTACAGAGTGTATGCGTGGGGCCGGCGGGGTGCAGACCTGCATCACACCAGTTCCCCCACCCCAAACTCAGATCCTGCCACAGGTAGAGGCCGCAGGGCCCTGGGAGGCATGGGCAGTCATGGTCCCCTCATCCTGCCTGCACCTGCCCCCACTGGTCCCTCGGCCCCCATGCTTCAGAGACACTCAGAGGCAGTGGCCACCTTCAAATGTACCCCCTGTGTCCCCTCTGCAGCCCTCAGACCCCTCCCCGCTCCTGCATCATTAGCCCGGGCCTGCCTCCCCCCACACGGCACCCGTGGAACTTTCTGCGATGGTGCAGATCGTCTATACTTGCGCAGTCCAACAGGGCAGCCACTGGTCACGTGTGGCTACTAAGCGCTAGAAATGTGGCTAGTGGCTGTTGTACTGGACAGCACAGTTCTAGAACCTTCCATAAAAAAACCAACTTGAACTGAATACCCTCGAGCCACTGCCCCGTCTCCCCTCCCCTTCGTGGCAGATTTTCCTGAAAAGGTTGCCAGCGGTTTCTATCTCCACCACCTCACTTTATCTTCTCTTCTCAGCCCCTCCAGTGCAGCGTCCATCCCCCACGCCCTCTAAGCCATCAAGGTCACCAGTGACCTCTGTCTTGCCAGCTCCAAAGGGCACACTCCTATTTTTATCTCTCTCCGCCTCTCGGCAGCATTTGGCCCACGTAACCGCTGCTCCTCCCTGAAGTGCTTTCTGCTCCGGGTCTCTGAGCCGCCACCCTCTCCCATCCCGGTCTCCTCCACTGGCTGCTGTCCCCTCTGCTGGACCCTCTTCCTCACCCTGACCTCTAACCGTCCGCCTGGCCAGGCTCCGTCCTTGGGCCTCACTGCTTCTCCTCACCTCCCCAAGGTGGTCCCACCCCTCCCGTGGCATCAATGCTCTCTCCATGCACTGGGCTCCCAGTCCATCTTGCCAACCTTGACAGCCCCCAGATCCTAGACTCAGAGACGTCGCTGCTCCCCTCTCAAAGTCCATACTCCCCAAGGGGAGCTCTTCATGCCTCACCCCCCACCATGTCCTTCAAACCAAAAATCGACGTGTCATCCTCAATTCCTCTCTCTCCTCACCCCCAAAACCAGGTCCAGAAGCAACGGGGTCGACTCCACCTCCAAATATATCCGGAATCAACCACCTCCCGCCACTCCCACCATGCCGCCCTGGTCCGAACCACCACCATCTCCTCTGGTGGCTCCACCTCATCTCCTGGTCCCCCATAATCCATTCTCTGTCCCGCAGCCAGAGGGGCCTGGAGCGCCATCATGGGATCCTGCCACCTTGCCAACAGCCCTTGAGGACATCCATCCTCCCACATGAAGGTCCACACCGGGTCCCACAGCCCCACATGGTCAGGCCTCCATCTCCCCGCTCACCTTCCCGCACACACCACTCTCCTCCTCCTGCTGCAGGGCCCTGCTCCCTCTTCTGGAAAGCTCTTCCTTCTCACGCCCCCTCCTCTCATTCAAGTCCTAGAGTCACAGCCTCCCCCACAGCCATCCCTGCTCCAGCTC